GCATCGTCTCCAGTGCTCGAGGTGAGCATGGGGAGAGTCCGTCTCGTGGACTTTGGACATGTTATAGAAGAGACCAGCCGCTGGAGAGGGGACTGGTACCATGCTTGGTAAAGATGGAGGGGCAGAGACAAAGAGGAGATGGACCGGCACAGCGGCTGCATCGCTGGGCTCAGGCATAAGAACCACTGTGAGCATCAGGCAGGACCCGGTGTGTTTCCATCGTGTTGTGCAGTCGCAGGGGGGGGGGTAGTCCGCTGTGAGTCGAACCAACTGGACAGCACTTAACACCAGCAACCACTGCCCGAGCATGAAGACCATTCTGGAGGAGGAGGACAGCCACCGGACAGGGTGCGTGTTATCGGGAGGGGTCCCTTGGGACCCCTATGGGGAGAGATTTCCATCACATCAATGTAGAACAGTTTCAGGGTCGTGATGGGCAGCGTGATATGGCGTCCACGAGGTGGGTCGTCCAGGTGATCAAGCTACCTATGCCATTAATGATTCCCTGATAGAACTGTTGTTGTTGTTGTTGTCAGGTGCCATCGAGTCTGCTCCGACCCACAGCCACCCTGGGCACCACAGAAGGAAACCCCGCCCGGCCCTGCACCACCCTCACCGTGGTTCCTGTGCCCTCCTGTGCCCGAGCCCGTTGGCGCAGCCACTGTGTCCGTCCATCTCGTCGCCGGCCTTCCTCGTTTTTGCTGCCCCTCCACTTTCTCAAGCATGACGTCCTTCTCCAGGGACTGGTCTCTCCTGACCACACGTCCAAAGTGTGTAGAATGAAGTTTTGCCATCCCTGCCCCCAAGGTGCACTCTGGCCTGACTTCTTCCAGGACAGATCGGTTTGTCCTTTTGGCAGTCCGTGGTACTTTCAACGTTCTTCTCCAGCCCCACAGCTCAAACGCATCCATTCTCCCGTGGTCTTCCTTACTCAGTGTCCAACTCTCACGTGCCTAGGAGGCCATGGAGAACGCCATGGCTGGGGTCAGGCACACCGCAGTCCTCAAAGTAGCACCCTTGCTCTTCAACACTCTGAAGAGCTCTTGTGCAGCACACGGACCAAATGCCACACATCTTCTGATCTCTGGGCGGCTGCCTCCCTGAGCGCCGACAGCACTGACAGCCCTAAGCTCGATGTACGGGAAGCTTTGAGATCTGCAAGCCTGCCATCCCACTCTTCCGCAAAGTCCCAGCATCTTCTGGGAAGTCAAGCACCGATGTGCTGAAGCATCAGCATCAGCCAGACACTGCGGGACTAATCAAAGCCTTACCTCGGACACAGAGAGGGACACTCGTGTCTCAAGGAGAAATCGAATGTATCCAACTCGGAGGCCCGGAACCCTCACGGGCGGCGTGGCTGCTGTTTGCCATCAGACGAAAGAATGGTCTCTACAAAAAAAAGGATTTCCAAAGTGGACCACAAAAACAACCCAGTCTCCTTGGGGAGAAAAAAAGAGACTTTGCGCTGAAGAAATGGGAGTGGGGGCAGGGGTGGGGGGAGCACGAGAACCGGTTGTGATGATGATGATGGATGGACAGCTCTTTCTAAGAGTGACTTACCATGCGAAGGGTATCTTTACATCAAGGAAAAAGAAAGTTGACCGACGGTGACCCTGGGTGGCGGCGGAGGAGCCTCGCGTTTCCAACCATAGTGCTGGAATCCCTTGGGAGAGGAGATCAGTAATGGTTAGGTAACGGGAAGAGAGTGACCGACGGCACTGCGTTAGGCCTGTAGACGGCGTGGAATGGGAGAATGTTTGGCTGTGTCTATTTTTGCCACAGTTGAAAAACAAAGACGATCACGCTAACTGAGCGCAA